GTATCAACAGAAATGAATGACAAACCATTGGTACCAACCAATCATTGAAACATTTCAGGTTCATCTCCTTGTGTTTGCAAAGCATTTGATAGTCATACGATGACATAGTCCTTTGGTCTTCCACAGACTTGCAGAGGAACTCATTGTGGCAAGAAGCCCATCAAGCTCACAGACAACTAAAAACTGGTTGTAGAAAGGCCTATATGAAAGTCACTACTGGACATAGACCAATGCCAAGCACAATATATAATACTTCCTTAGAAAACATTGCTTGTGTTTCTCCTATTACTAGCTGTAGAAAAAAAACCCACCCAAATCTTAGCAGAGACCTTAGAGTACCTCTACAGCCAAATTTCAAGTTATGAAATCTGATTTTTGCAGCAGAGCAGAACCTCAGTAATCACACATACATGCCGCAAACTCTGAGGGTGCCAAGTCACAGGCTTTTGCTTTATGGAGCCAGTAAAGAGTGAGAAAGCTTTTGGAGAATGTTTTTGCTCAGCTTTGCGAACTGTATCTTATCACCTGCCTGGCTTAATGATAACAGAATAAACTCAAATAATATAGCATTCAAAGCCCTGCAATCAGTGTTTCGAATGCTGAGCAGGTATGGGTGTTTTAGGTCACCACTGCAACATCTTCCCCATTGAGGCTTAAATGTCAGATGATATTGCATAACACCAGTGCAACCAGTTTCAAGACAGGCTGAAAACTTTATACATTCACTAACTTATTAAATCCAGCTTTAAATTAAATCTGGGTTGAAATCAAAGCAATTAGCTCTCTTCTCTACTGTTTACCTACCAGGAGCAGATGCTAGTATATTTTTAAATATTCCATAGCTGCCTGTTGTTATCTCTACAACATATAAGCAGAAATCTTATTTAGGAAGCACGTAACATCTCTGGAATTTTTAGCAGGATGTATCTCTCCTGCTTTGCTGCGAAAGCATCATGCATTTTTGCCTGCTAACTATAGTCCAGAATGTAATGGAGATGTTTGGCAAAAATATCTCCCACTGCCACAATGTCTCCCTGAGCAGACATGTTATTTTTCAATTCTGCTATGCTTACTTCCACAAGATCAAATGAGAGCTAAAATGCTATTAATGCACTTAATGACATGTTCTTAGCAATAAATTCAGTCAAATATAGCAAGATGGAATGACTGAGTCTAAGACAGACATCCAGTGAGACCTGAGACAAGTGATTCTGAGCAGCTGCTGGCATGAAATCCAGTATTTGCAACACTTCACAACTTTCCACATTTCAGTAGTACAGCAGTACAAGAACTGGAAGACTCATCACTGGTCAGTACAACAAAAAAACTTTCTACCATTTCCTCTCTTTGATTCATGTGTCTCCCAGGAGCTCACATTATGTCTATTAAAACCCTAGCTTGGCTGTGGCAATGTATGCTTTTGTCTTAGAATGTAAATGAATTAAACAGCAGCTTGGCATGTGCCCTTGTCACATCTTCCTCCCACCCGATGGTTTTCACGTTCCTGTTTTACACAGTACTGTGTAAAACATTCTGCATTAAAACCACAGAAAGTTAACTACAACAGCTAGCAAAAGTTTTACCTTCTAAATATGTATAAGGCATAGCCGTTACAGTGAACTCCTTTCCTGTTCCTACTGTGTTAACATGAAGCTTAAAAGTCACACACACACACAAGAAATCGCTTGGTCCTGTTCTCTGCCAGCCCTCTCTCACCCCCCCCCAAACAGTTCCACCTCACATATTCAGATAAAAAATAACTAGCTGATCTCTACCTTAATAATTCTGCTGATGGTGCTCTCACTGTCTCATCCTCTATTTCAGTGGCCAGCTTCAATGACAGCAAGAATTGCTTGTTTGTTTAGATTTGATCTAAATATCATGCCTATTAAAAACATTTTGCATGCAAAACAATAAACTAAATAAATATTTCAAGACTAACTATTCCAAAGAACACTTTCCCTGCTTTAAATCTAGGAAGAAAAAACTTAGGGAAGATATGTAACAGGCTTCCATGCAGAAAAGACTGATGTACAGAGGAACAGAATAAACTATTTTTGATAGCCAGGGAAAACAGGACAAAACTGGGCTCCAACTGCAGTAAGAGGGACTAAGGCCAGGCACTGAGGAGAAAAATGTCCTCCATCAAGGCTGGTGTAATGGGTTTGCATGGCAAGGTTTTGGTAGTGGAGGGGTTACAGGGGTGGCTTCTGTGAGAAGCTGCTAGAAGTTTCCTCTATGCCCTATACACCCAATGACAGCCAGCTCCAAGATGGACCCACTGCTGACCAAAGCCAAGCCAATCAGCCATGGTGGTAGCACCTCTGTGACAACGTATTTAAGAAAGGGAAAAAGTTATTGCACAACAGCAACTGCAGCCGGAGAGAGGAGTGAGAATATGTGAGAGAAAGAACTCTGCAGACACCAAGGTCAGTGAAGAAGGAGGGGGAGAAGGTGCTCCAGGCACTGGAGCAGAGATTCCCCTGCAGCCCATGGTGAGACCACAGTGAGGCAGGCTGTCCCCTTGCAGCCCATGGAGGTTAATAGTGGTGTAGATATCCATCTGCAGCCCATGGAGGACTCCACATTGGAGTAGGTGGATGCCCGAAGGAGGCTGTGACCCCATGGGAAGCCTGCACTGAAGCAGTCTCCTGGCAGGGACGTGCGGAGATAGGAGCCCATGATGGAGCAGGTTTGCTGGCAGGACCTGTGACACTGTGGGGGACCCACGCTGAAGCAGTCTGTTCCTGAGGGACTGCACCCCGTGGAAGGGACCAATGCTGGAGCAGTTTGTGAAGAACTGCAGCTCATGGGAAGGACACATGTTGGAGAAGTTTGTGGAGGACTGTCTCTCATGGGTGGCCCCCATGCTGGAGCAGGGCAAGAGCATGAGGAAGAAGGAGTGGCAGAGACAACATGTGATGTACTGACCACAGCCCCATTCCCCATCACCTTCTCTGCTTAGCAGGAGGAGTTGCAGAAGATGAGGAGTGAAGCTGAGCTCAGGAAGAAGGGAGGGGTGGGGGGAAGGTGTTTTAAGATTTGTTTTTATTTCTCATTAACCTACTCTGATTAATTAATAAATTAATTTCCCCAAGTTGAGTTTGTTTTGCCTGTGACAGTAATTGGTGAGTGATCTCCCTGTCCTTTTTTCAACCCATAAGCCTTTTTTCTCTCCCCTGTCCAGCTCAGCAGGGGGAGTGACAGAGCAGCTGTGTGGGCACCTGGAATCCAGCCAAGGTTAACCCACCACAAACGTGTTTTCCCTTTAAAAGTTCCCTGTATCTCATAAAACTAAACCCTTCCATTTCACTTACCTTTTTAGAGGCTTTATGTATCCCCATCAAACCCACTAGTGCAGGTGAAAGCAAACACCTTGGAGAGTGACTGCTGTCACACTCAGGATGAAGGATGCTCCCAGTGATCATTTGGAATCTAATGAGAAGTGGTATGCACACATGCGTGGAGATAGGATGGACTCAGAAAGCCACAGACAAATGGCATGATACTCTGACAGACAGATGAATGATTTTTGGAGAAGGTGACAAACACCAGCCCATGTACAAAGTACCAAAATCATTTGCTTTAGAAAAGTAATAGAATTACGAAAGAATATCACATTTTGAGAGTTCAGCAGCTGCGGTAGTAAGTTGTATGTGTTGATTGAGTGTGCCCACCAGAAGGGTTTACCCTTCTTTATCACACCCCAGTTACATGTATGATTACATAAGATTTTCAGGGAAAAAGATTGAGTTCCTTCAGTCTGCATAATTTACAGTCAATACCAACCATACTTCCGTTTGTATTATTTGCATTACACTATTCATACTCATTTTTATTCAGGCTGCAAAAAAGCAGTCACGCCTCAATATTGCTGGGCAGTGTCAACTGGTTTATACCTGCTTGTGCTAGCCAATTTTTAAGAAGCATACACGAGCATTATGATAACACTTTTTTCCTTGCAAATGGAGGTCACAGAGTGCAATAAAAGAGCTTCACAGCACTGCTTTTTTTTTTTTTTTTTTTTTTTTCAGGTGACTTATTGTCACCTGACAGTTAACAGAACTTGCCATCCTGCAGACATGGTTATTGTAACACTGCAGTGTCTTACAGCATCACACAGGGAGTCAGCTGTTGTCTTTCAAGTTTAGACCTAGGAACCAGAGCGGTGTCTCATGATTTTGACCCAGAGAACTCACAGTAACAACAAACTGCAAAAAGTAGCAAAACCAGGTAGCTTTTATGTAGTCACTAAGAACAACAGAGTGATTTATCAGTGGTGGAAGGAGAAAGGACTATGTGATTGCCTTTCCCATTAACGTGCTGGGAGATACCAGCCATAATGCCATTAGAGTTCTTTTCACCAAGGGGCTAGGAATTCAAAGTTCATTAGTTCAGTGTGAATTTCACACACTGTTCTCCATTAAAAGTTGCTCAAAGCATCAACAAAGTTTATCATCTGGTTGACAGCCAGAGCACTAGTGAACTCCAGTTGGCAGAGAGTTGGGATGCTGAAAGGTAGAAAAGCACAAGTTCCTTTTGCTTCCTAGAGGATCATTCTCAGCAGCACCCAGAGCACTCTTTTCACAGTAAAATGCCAGAAAATAAGTGGGGAAAAAAAACAGTTCCTATACAAAATAAACTAAAATCTGGGTATAAATAAGATGCCATCCTTCATATTCAGTAGTCTGAAATACTATAAAGTAATTGAACTATATCAGAACCAAGGAAATTCACATTTTGCTCTCTCATTTTTTACTACAGTCTCACCTATAGTTAATACTGACTAGGGCAGAGGAACACAGAAGTGATCACTTCATCACGCTCCAGGTAGTAAAATGACTTCTTACAGAGTGGAACAGAGTGGAAGACGTTAAAATAAAGAATTACCAGCAGAGAATTATAAACATGAAAGAAAACAATCACGGCTTTTCATACCTGTATGCTGACTGGATCTATTATAATTCTAATTGTGTAGAAGAGCTGTGACCTCTACTTACTTTCACAGAGACGTCTTCTCAGCTTCCCTCGAATTTTATCGATGGCATTGTAATCAGAGACGTGAAACACATGAGCAGACTTGGGTTCCGAAGCAATCTCATCAAGTTCCTCTTTCAAGGCTTCGCCTACACCCACAGCAAAGATCCTAATCCCAGCCTGATGAGCTGCAGTGGCTGGATCCAAGACATAATCCTGGCTCCTTCCATCCGTCAAAAGGATAGCCACTTTTTTAACAGTTCGATCACTAAGTCTCCCACCAGCTTCCTTGGAAAAACTGTAGGTGTTGATGTACCTGAGAGCATCTCCGGTGTTCGTATTACCCCCATAATACTTAATTTTTCGTGCAGCTTCTTTGATTTCCTCACGGGTTTTGTACTTTCCCAGGTCGAACTCTGTGGTTGGACGATCACTGTATCGCACCACACCTACACGGGTTTTGTCTGGGCCAATCTCAAAAGTTTCCACCAAATTAGACACCCACTGCCGAACTTTCTCAAAATCTTCTTTTCCGACACTGGAGGAGGCATCCAAGATGAAGACAAGGTCATAGTGAACATTCTTGCAACCTGCAAGAGAGGCAGAAAATATCACTAAGGGAAGATGAAAGAAAAGCACCAGACATATCAAATATTCCCTAGGCATGGCTCCCTAGTGAGCAATTTGGAGGAGGTAGCAAACCCTCTCCCTATCCTGCAGCGAAAGCGCAGATTCTCAGCCTTTATTCCTTGTGATTCACCTAATCTGTTTCAGGACATCTACAGATCAGCACACACTTTGCTTTGAAATGCAAACCCTTTCTCTTCCTGCACTACTAACTGCCTCTGCTCAATCTTTTACTTACACCATCTGCATGCATATGAAGCTATTTTTCCCAAACTTCATTGCAGTGCCTTTGCTCAGGCAATGCTCTGAAATGACCTTGGCAGATCAAGAGACCCACCCTGACCTTGCCTACGCCAATCCTGACCATGAGTAGTGAAACTTTCATGTTCCCTCTTGCATTAACATTATGATTTATTTAAGCTTAGCTAGAAGCAGTTCTTTTGCTCAGCATGATATGTTGGGGAAGCAAGTTTATAACAAGATTATTTTGATTTTGAGGCTCTCTGCCATTGACTGTTGACTAAAGGATGACTCACTGAACACTGGGATGGCATCCTTGACAACGAAGGGCAGTTGCTTTGTAAGGGAAAAGTTCACTTATCCCCACAACCACCCTTTTTGCCTCCAGTCATGATATATGTAATCTAAGGCCTGTGTAATTTGGCACATGTATTTTAATTGCAGCTTACTTGCCCTGTGAAGCCAGATTGGTCATATATTTGCCAGTCACCTGACAAGAAAGTAGATCTCCCAGGAGAAGTTTTCTAATTGTTTCTGAATATATGCAAGCCAGGAGGCAGTAGATTCATAAACGTCACACAGATGCCAAAGATGTATCAAAATAATGCCCCAAGTAGATAAAATGTGTGTGTACATATATATATATATACGTATGTTTATTTAATTCACTATTATAGACCATAGTCCCTAACAAATTACAAGTTTCAAGATTGAAAGCTGCTTTACAAAGTCAATGTGTTTATGGTCACAACAACCAACCATTGTTTCTCCAGTAATTCCTGACTCAAGTCATCTCACATAGTACAACTTCCTGTTTAAACCAATGATAAAAAGTGAATTTGACTAATCATGTGGAGAACAAAGCACATATAATACGATACAAGACAGAGAGATAGTCCATACCAGTGCCTGAGCCACTTTATTTCTTTCAGATTAACAGGGCTTTTCTATGTCCCACTGAACTGGAGATGTTCTATCTGGCTGCTAAACTGTTGGCAGTTGCCCTTAAATCCTACTGCTTTACCAGGATCTGAGCTGGTAACCCACATCCACCCACACCCGCTGAGAGCACATCTGTTCTGTTGACTCCTATTTCACTGTAGGACCCTGATTCCCCTAGCTGTTCCCACCACAACCATGTTAATAACCTACTGTGGGCTCTGACCTGGACTGTCCAACCTTGACCAGAAAATTTGAAGAGTATTTGTGAGAATACATAACTCCATGGTATACCCACCAAAGACAGTTTAGCTCTCCATATATTAAAAAGCAACATTCCCACTGTACAGTTTGCATGTTTTCACTCACATCAGACTACTTCCAGCCAGGTCCCAGCAACTAAATGTCCATCAGTGACTGACACCCATTATATGTGCATCTGAAAAGCATCTTGCAGTTCAGTTTCAGCAGAAATCAATCCAGGACTGCTCCGTGATATGAACCAAAGCACAATAAGTGGAGATGTTTGGAAGATTCACTGTGAAAATTTGAAATCGTTGTCAGGGCTCTGAGAGTAAACTCCCTCTCCAGGGTTTAGCTGCCATGGCTTCCTGGCCTTGTGTGAGCTCCTCTGAAAGCTCTCCTGGAAGCATTCAAGAAAGACCTGTCTCTTCCTCCACTGGAAGCTGCTCCTACAGTGAGGCTCCCACCTTTGTTCCTTGCCTGAGAAGTCAGTCCCTGGCTTCACCTCAGTTCTGCCTCACCTCAAGAGTGGCTGACCCTGGGTGCTGTCTTTGGACCTGATGTGGAACCTGACTTGCTGACTCATGTTGCTAGCTTGATCTCAGACCTGCTTCATCACTATGAGCTTGTCTGGGGATTTGGATTGTCAGTTGAGCCTGGCTTCCACCCCCAGCCTTCCCTGCTCCCTGGTTGGGAGTGGAGAGACAGGCTGTTGCTCATGAGACCCTGTCCTGCCAGCCCAGGGAGACCCACAGCTCCTGGCTGCCGTCCTTTAGGAAGTCGTCTGTCCTTGCTGCACTCTTGACCAGAGCTAAACCACTGATGTAAATGTACGCAATAGGGATGTTAGCTGAGGACCAGCATTTTTTTTCCCTGGAAGAGGCTGATGAGTATGGAGGTACCATACAAAGTTCATCCAGTCAAGCACTTGCTTGACAGCCAGCTCAGTGAACAGGAATATGAATCGTGCTACACAAAGGTGGGGGGAATGATGTGTTGACATATTTCCTCACTGAGTTTCAGCATTTGAGCCTACAGGAAGGTCACAATGTCTTCTCCCACACCCAGATTCAATCTTACAGTTCTCAAAATAGCTCTGGTGCTTTTGATCATCCTGGGGTGTGAATCTGCCCCGAAGAGGACAGGAATCCCAGAACAGCCCACTGCACTGGAAAGGAAAGCATGGGTAGCTCAGCCACATGAAGAAGATTTGCCTTCAGATAAGAGTAAAGGCATTATATGTAGGCATTGTATGTCAGTGCTCATGGTATTGTGTGATGGCCGTGGCAGTGGTTGAATACACACCTGGTTGCAGGTGATGACAAAATGACTATCGTCTGTTGCTGTGTTGATTTGTGTAGCAGAGTACATCCCAGATGCTGCTGTTCCTTCAGCATCTTTAGGAACAACCTATGCACACGGGATTGGGATCACATTGGGAACAACTCATCCACATGGGATCATGTTGGAAACAACCTCTCCACGTGGGATTGTGTTCTGTGGCGGCATTTAAGAGTGAGGGAATACTAGTCTCTATCTAAGCAAAGAGCAAGAAAGGCCTGGCTGGAAAAACTCTCTCAAAGGTAATCAGAGTGTGACGATGATGGTATATGTCATTTTACATTGTGGGATGTAAGTTACATTACATCTGCGTATACCAGCTAGACTGTTAAGTGTAGTTCTGCTCGATTTTTGAAGAATGTAAAGGATAGAATATACAACAGTAAAAGGTAAGCAAGAAATCTCCACTTTCTCCCCCCACCTCAAATCATTATTGTATTTGTGTATCTATTATATCATTATTATACCTATTATATCTATTCTGTCTGAAAAAAATATTAATTGAGACTAACTAGAGAATATAAAGGCTTGTGTATAAAACCCACAAGGTACAGGCCTTCCTGTTCTTATTTTAACAACTCTCAGCAGGTGAGATGACTGCAATTTAAAAACAAACAGAACAGACAGAATGAATCCTGTCTGTGTTCAAGGGCGATGAGCCTTAAAACAAGGGTGGTTTAAGGTTTAAAAAGTGATGCCTATTTCAGGCAGTATTGCAGGGAAGAAAAAGATGTCTTTCAGGATCATTTTCTTACAGTCAGTGATTCTTTGCTTACAGACCTGATAGCAGTGAGATGAAGTGCTGCAGAAAAGCTTTTAGTAAATATTAATCTGCATTTTTAGCACAGTAATGTCCACTGCTGGACAAAATGATTGTTTTCCAAGAACGCTATAATAATATTGTTTACCGGCAGAAACAGTTCATGTTAAGGGAATATGGGAGATAATTCTTAGAAAGTGAACTTTCAGTTTTGTAATTACAGGAATACTCTCTGAAAGCATAATTCCAGGAGCTGTGTTCATCCACTCAGACACTGAGTCAAATGTTTTCCAATAGTGCCATTAAAAATAGTTCACAAACAAGTCACAAGCCCTATATTTTTTAATATAACACAGAGAGAACATATAAATGGTACCACCATATTTTTCCTGTGGCTGATCCACAAGCAGAAAAAAAGATGAGATTTCACTTTGTTTTGCTACTGAATACTTATTCCTATAAAACTTAATCCAAAAAGCCTTATATAGATCACATACAAAACTGTAAAGCAGCTATTCCTTAGACTGAGAGAAGGTCTAAAAAGGCCTTTTCTTTCTTATAAATTACCCAAGCCTACAGAATAGCCTCTTTCCTAGAAAAGCAGACAGAAAGCCCCCATCTCAAAGTACTTTTGAGGCTTTATATCAATAAACTATGTGGTTCCACCACCATTTTCTGTCCCCGAGGTATAGCTTCATTCACAAACTTTTTCTTCCACCCCCCAAAAAACAATATGTCCTTGTCAAGACTGCTGATAGGAACGGTCCTGCAGCTGCACCATCCTCTAATGCATTCAGTGGTGTTTAGGGGAGAGCTCATCAGCACAGGCCAAAAGCCATGCCAGGGACCATGATGGCAACTAGAAAGCATGAATCAAGAGAGGGTATGAACAGTGCTCTGGCCCTGTTTCATTCAATTCCCAGACAGACAGAAGATTCACCAGGTCTAATTTGACACCCACTGAAGGCAATGGAAGAAGGGATCTCCATGCCAGTGTGGGGCAGATGAAGAATATCCAGGGTAAACTGTCTGCTGCTCCCCTTTCTGTGGGCAGCTGAGCTAACCTTTCTAAGCCTGCAGCAGAGCAAGAGATCCTGGTTGAATCATAACCTTGATCCCCGAGCTATCTCCATCACTAAGGCCTATTTTATGTCTTTTCAGCAGTGAAAGTCTTGCTTGCTTTTTTTTACTGCTTTCCTCCTAGCAATGGTAGCTTCTCACCAATGTAAAAGCCCCAGAAGCCACTTAGCATGAGGCAGTAAACTGAACAGTGTGTACCTGCTCTTTGTGCTTCAATTCTCTCCCCGCTGAAGACGAATGTGAAAAGAACCAGGAGATGGGGCACACGGCATCTTCCTGTAACGGACATATCTCCTTTCTCACATTGGCTTGTCTTTTCTCCGTGGTGAGAAGCTTGTTAGAAATCTAATCCATAGCCTAGGAAGGAAAATAAAAAGCAAGTGTTATCTCATAGAAACACAAACAACAGTAATGACGCAAGTCATGGGAGCAATGTTTTGGAGTGTTGTCACTTCTGTATGTCATTTTACTTGACTAGACACAAACCGCTCAGACAAAGAGGCAGGAGTTCACCTACTTTTCAAAAGCTATAGTCTTTCACTGGCTCTATTCAGTGTGCAGCAGCCTGAATGGAAACAGGAGAGAGATTACCAGATTATTATACTTTAATTGAGCCCACGGCCAACTACACAATCAGTGCACTGGAGTGGAAACCATTCCTGACCTGGCCCTCCCACACATCCATCACTAGGAGATACACAACTCAGAGACGAGATACAAACCACTGCAAATCACACACAACCAGTTGCCACTTCACCCATTGTTGCTTTCAGTTCCAGAGCCTCAGAAATTACAAATGCTAAAAATATATGACTGTTTTCATATACATATTTGTTGCCATCAGTCCTTCTCTATAGAAGTAAACTCAGCAGCTTCAAAACACATCTTTCAACTATTTAGTTTAAAGAAGTGCAAAAGCTCAGGTGGATGATCTTCAAGTTAAGGTCATTGGTTTGAGTTTACTTTGACTGAAGACACCGAAGTCAGCCAGAATTGTAAAAAGCCAGGCAAACTGGCTGGGCTGTTAAAAGTTTAGCCATGTTTTCTAACACCAGACTTCTTTTAAAAAAACAATTATTTAGTTATTTTTGTTGTTTTATTATTTTTTATTAGATCTTAAAATCATTGTGGTTCTATCTACTGTGTACACACACACAGGAGAAAAGAGTTTCTACTCTGTAGCTCTTACTGCCTAAGGAATAATTTTGGAAAACTTTCTCCCAGCTCCTGAATCCATCTTTTCCTCTTTAATGCACAGATTTCTTTGTCCATTTTCTTAGGGAATTTCTGTTTCCTCTGTCTTTTAACACACGCATCGCTGTTGATAGCCGGGTAAAAGAGGCATGAAGGGGACACTGTATGTTGTAGATCACTGCTGAAAGGTCGATTATGCATTCTAGGATATTTATTTTCAAAGCAATAGGGTTCTGTGGGAATCACAGACAAAAAGAATGGTGGTGTCAGGATTTGTTCAAAACCTGTCAAATGTTGGACCTATCTCTACTATGTATCTCAGAAATAAAGCGCATGTCATGCTGGTTGAGGAAACAAAAAAGGGGGAAATCTTCCATCGTTGTCAACTCATAGCTGTAAATCCTTATTCCGAGGACAAAATACAGGCTCCTGTATTTTCAAAAGTCCATATCCCATGCAGGCAAGGCGAAAAGCAATACATCTAATAAACCCTGCACCCTGCAAACAAAATTTGGAAGTATCTACCAGCAATGGAACATAAATGCAAGAAAGGATTTTTTTTAAAAAAAAAGCTTATTCAAGTACCATCTGTAAATCCAAAGGGCACAAGCAGGTGCTGTAGTTTACACCTCAGCCAGACGATGTCCCTATGAGACAGTGAGGTGCTCAGGTTTGAGCGAGCTGGAAAAGGTTGCAGGGTAAAAAGGGCATGAAAAGATCACCATGCCCTACAACAGTTAGCATTTCCTTTTAAATAAGTACATTACTGAAATACCAATCAGGCAGTGGCCTGCAGAGGGATCAGCACAAGAATTACTTAAAATAGCTATGGGATCCTTCAGCCCAAGGTTTTTCCTTCTGTGTGCTTTTTTAGGAAACATTGTTTTCTGGCACTGATGATGGGAGAGCAGGTTAGTGGCAGCAGCAAGGGATGAGAAACCAGATCTGCCATGTGGCGTTCCGCACTTCCAGTGCTGAGAGCTCAAAACATCCTTTTTCTGCGTCTGGGCTCGCACGGCTGCAAAGTTTTATAAATACATTATTAAAAACAGTCTTTGCCAGCTGCTAACCCACATGAGGCCAGGATAAAAGGAGCAGAGCACCAGCTGGTGTCAGTCAGCAGAACGGCGGCGGCATGGACCGACGCTGGCTCGACATGCCACACATGCGGCGTGATGGGGAGCTTGGTGGATGTGGCTCACGGTACACGTGTGACTTCTGCCCCAGCAGAATGACTGAAAGCTGCATCTCTAAGGCGCCATGCCTCTCCACTCGTGGCCAAAACACCTCAACAGCTGCATTATGAATGCTGAAAAGTGTCTCAGAACAGTCATTTAGCTAAAACCAGCAGGAAAAAAAAAACCAAACACAACAAATCAAATCAGAACATCTGCTCAAAATCTATGATTATAACCTGTGGTGGCTTTAATACACATTTGTGATTCAATATTGTTCTTGCATTCAGGCCAAAATACATAATTTTATCCATTTTTATAGCTTGAAGAATTGAACCAAGACTCTTAACTTGCAACTACTTCATGTATGGGTATATCAGTGAGAGAAAATTGTCCCATTCACATCAACAGGACTCATGTCATGGCAAGGAAATCTGCAGGGGTAATATAAGTAAGGTTGGAGACAAAGCACTTCTAGTGATGGGTTTTCCACACTAGTTTGTTTCCCACCACAGTCTGTCACTGTGAGACTAAACCCAGTTTGAGATTACAACAGCCGATCAACATTTATTTCCCCTTCCAGGAGAAAGGGTTGAAAAGGAGCCAAAGGTGGAACAGTTTAGGCTTCAGAGTGATCGAAAAATAAGAAATTCTATTTAGTTGACCCTACTTCCAAATGGTCAACATGGATTTTTTTATTACTAATATTTTTAGTTCAGCCTATCATGTGGGAATAATATTCCTCAAAGTGGTATAAGACAATGTACATTCTTTAAAAATACCTCATTTTTTTCTTTTTATCTTGCAAACATCACTTTGGGATTCCCTTGTGACACATTTAGATGTATTAAGTGAGATTG